CCCCTCGGCGCCCTCCCGCTCCCTCACTGGTCACGTGCCCGCAGCCATGGTCCTGAGGCCTGAGTGTAGGCCCTGACCTGGGGGAGCTGGTGCGGGGTATCCCCCAACCCCCTCTGGTACCCCAGCTGAAGGCCTCTTAAGAGGCAGGAGACCCGCCGGGGGATGGCCCGCCTGGCGGCATCCTCACCTCTGCTGCAGGAGGGCCAGGAGGCGGCCGGGCCCCCTCAGGCCTCCTGAGCTGGCCGCTCCTGACAGAGCTTTGACTGCGGGAGGTCTCAGGTCCTGCACGTGCTGCTCTGTTCAGAGTATTCTGGCCATGCTCTTACCAAGAGAAGGCAGAAACGCTTCTGGAACCATGTCTCGTTGGTGGTGTGGTCCTGTATCCCGCCCAGAGCAAATGCGGTTCCCTTGGCAGCAAAAGTCTGCTACTTTGGGCGCTTCTGTGGAGATTCAGACCTGTTTCATTGCAGGTAGCAGTGCGACAGGCTTCCACAGCAGCCATCTCGCCTTGAGATGCTTCTTTTCACTTTTTGTGTCACTTTATTTGATCTCTATGCTTTATGTCCAAAGCGATGAATATGCTCCAGCTGTTGAAAGTCTGCTTCACGGTCATACTCCATTGTTTTGCACACTGAAATGATGGCATAGCAGTTACATTTGAGATAAGGGATGTAAGACCAGATGCTTCTCTTTTCCCTGTAGCCTCTTGCAGAGCAGCTAATGGAGTCTTTATCTGCAATACTGCCAGTCACGAGGTAGCAATGAAGGCTTCCCTGTCCCATGACCATGACTGCTCTGTCCCATTGTACGTTTGCATGTTGTTGCTCATGCTTTTGTCAGATAACCAGGTATTTCTGTACTTGTCATTGAGCCTGGCATACACTTATGTGGTTTATTGCATGAGTGGATGAGAATAAGGCCTTTCATATGACCAACATGAAGATATCTTCCATCTGTCTAATAAGTATATGCTTCAGTCTTGTGATGAGGTGCATGTGTCAGGTTTGAAGTATTCTTACGAAAGAAGTTGTTCGAGGAAGGGGCTGTGGTCCTGTAAATTTTGGGGATGGGCTGTGGGTTGGCAATCTCCCTTGCTGGATACATTTCTATGGCATTGCTATTCTGGAATCTTTGTGTGTGAGGAGATGACATCATGGGTTTTTTTGGTCTTTTTTTTTTTTTTTTTTTAAGCTGTCCAGAAAAAGATCAAAAAGAATGGTGTAATGTTCTTCATGAATCGGAAAAGAGAGGTAGGGAAATGGAGACCCCCATCTGTTCTGATTCTGCATCTTTGTGCCTTATTTCAGTATGTTTGGCAAACTGATTGTTGCACGATTCACTTATTCTCTTAGATAACTGTAGAAAAAAAGTCTGCCTTCCTATGTTATACTGGATGTACCTAGTTGTTTGCTTAGTGCTAGGTAAAATCAAGCTAATTTACACTATTTATCTCAAGGCTTTTGAATTGTAATGGTGAGATTCTTTCTTCTTTTGGGAAGAAGACTTTTGTCTTGGATAACTGTCTTCGGTAAAGGAAATCCTGGAATCATGAAGGTTCGTATGTACATTGTAAATTCTGGATCATCCGAGGTGTACTGTGGCACCTGGCTGATGTTCTGGCAAGAACCAGTATTTTAGTGACAGACATTTTTTTGTCTGATGCTGCCCAGTGCTTTCCTGTGTTTTCACTTGAAGTCCTGTCTGAAAACTCGGGAATTCTCTGGTTTTCATTTTGGTCTTTGTTTTGTCACTCTGGGAGCTTTGTGTCTCATGAAAGAGGTGCAGTGAAATTGTGATTGTGGTTTATGATCAGGCATTTGGCAGCTGTACTGCTCAAGCAGCCCTTCCTCTCCATCCTTGCTGATCATTCCTGTTGCTGCACTGCCCTCTCCCAGCATGCTGCTTTTCTATGGTTTTAGGATATAACTACATTGAGCACTGGTCTTGTTGAAGAAAAAACAACAGTTTTCTAAACAGAATGGAAAAAGTAATGTAGAGATGAGAGAGCAACTCCAAATGGCTTGGAACTAATTACATTGGTAGTTGGAAGAACTGGGCATCGGATGTGAAGTTGGCCTGGAGCTGGAAGAGCTTACTACAAGGTGGCTTTTTAGCAATAAATCCTATTTCTGGAATATGCTGATATTGGGATTCTGTATGTCCATGCTCTTAACCCAGTAGAATAGTCAAGGAGCAGAGTGGAAAGCTGACACAGAACTCTTACTTCGTGTATTACAGCTGCTTCAATATTTTGCTGTCAGTTCTGCCATTGCTCCAAGTATTCTCTGAGAAAATAGTCACGGAACAAAGAATTAACCAGACTTGTATGAAAAGCATCTAACTGTTTAAATACACAAATGCCATTTCCTGGGTTTGCAACAAATGACAATTGTTTCGCTTGTTTCAGTATGTAAATTAAAGCATATGAAATTCTTGACAAAAATGATAGTTACAAATATAAATTCAATTCCTGTTGAACTCCCTGATTCCCACAATATAACATTGGCCAACAATTCACACAGCTTTTATCTGCAAGGAACTGTTTCTATCCATGAAAAGTCCTCAATGCTGAGTCCTATAACTGGTAAAGCGATATTCAGCTTCACATTGGTAGGAACACTAATAGTCACAAAGTCCTGTGTTTTTCAATTATGCTGATTATGTCCGTTATTTGGCAGGTTTAAATTATGTGTTGAAAAGTTGCCTGAAGTGCCCTTGGACAGAAATGGCAATCTTATTTGGCAAGGCTTTCAGTATAGAATATTTTCATTTGGACAGCAGTAGAACATACAATTTTAAGTTTGCTAGTGTGATTTTTATTTACAGATAAAATATTTAGAATTTGTAGCTACTGTACCTCTGTAACTTTTTGAATGTATTAAGAGCTTTGGGAGTAGAAAATACTATCATCTGTTCAAAATTTTGATCACATTTTCTGAGAGGAGACCTTCTGTAAAGTAATTATGTTTGACCTTGCTGGAAGAATATAATCCTTATTTTTAAGAATTGTGAGGGTAAATCCTATACATCAATGACTATTAAATTTGAATGCTTCCCCCTCCCCCTTTCTTTAAAGGTTTATTTGTTTATGAGACTAATACCATGTTTCAATCCATTGCTTGTAAAGCATCCTTAAGTATGGAGAACTTCATTCTGTAAGTTGTTTATAAAGGAAGAAGAAAGGGGACAATTAATTTTGTTGCCGTTCTTTGCACTGATAAATGCAAAAGAGCTGAAATAACAAACTGGGTAAGTAATGGGTTTTTCCTAATAAATCTGGGAAAAGATACAGCTTACAAAATCCTTGTAGCTCAGGTAATAGAAAAGAAAAATACCATGTGCTGCTTTACATGGAGTTTGTCACCATTCAGATCAGCTTTTACATTCTTTAAGTACTTTAAAGAATCCTTAAAATACTTTAAACAGAGTCTCATTTTAATGTATTTATTTCTTCATCTGATTTTATTGTTTTTTAAATCACATGCATAAACCCATGTTTACAGGCTTACCATTTCTATGATATGTCAGAGAACTTGTAAAAAAGTTACTTGCATGCAGTGGCTTGCTTTCTTTTGTTATCAGTTGTGCAAATCCAGTGGTAGTAGTACCTTCCAGTGAATAATCAATTTCTTACTACCAAGGAAAAAATATTTTTCATGAAGGAATAACATTTAAGGTAAACCAGTTCTGGTTTGTAAAAGCTTGGCAAAGTTAAACATATAACACTTTCTGGAAAAGAAACTGTAACTGATAGAGTTAAACATTGCAAGTATTTTATTTTTCTTGTAAATAAATTTTGTTTCTGTGGTGGGTTGACCCTGACTGGATGCCAGGTCTATCATTCCCCTCCTCAGCTGGATAGGGGAGAGAAAATATTACTGAAAGGCTTGGGGAAATTAGTTTAATTTATTGCCAATCAGAGTAGGATAATGAGAAAAAATCCCAAATCTTAAAACACCTTCGCCCCACCTCCCTTCTTCCCAGGCTCAACTTCACTCTTGAATTCTCTACTTTCTCCCCCTGAGCAGTGCAGGGGGATGGGGAATGGGGGTTGGGGTCAGTTCATCACACGCTGTCTCTCCTGTTCCTTCCTCCTCAGGGGGAGGACTCCTCACACTCTGCCCCTGCTACAGCCTGGCAGGAACAGACTGCTCCAGTGTGGGTCCCTCACGGGGTCGCAGGTCCTGCCAGGAGCCTGCTGCAAGCGTGGGCTTCCCATGGGGTCACAGCCTTCTTTGGGCATCCCCCTGCTCTGGTGTGGAATCCTCCCCAGGCTGCAGGTGGGTATCTGCTCCACCTTGGACCTCCCGGGCTTCAGGGGGACAGCCTGCCTCACCATGGTCTTCACCACGGGCTACAGAGGAACCTCTGCTCTGGCACATGGAGCACTTCTTCCCCCTCCTTCTGCACTGACCTTGGTGTCTGCAGGGCTGTTCCTCTCACATATTCTCACTCTTCTCTCTGCCTGCTGTTCCCCAACAGTTTTCTCCCAGCAGTTCCTCCCCCTGCCCCCCCAGCTTCTTAAACATATTGTCCCAGAGGTGCTACCACCATCACTGATGGGCTCAGCCTTGGCCAGCGGCGGGTCCCTCTTGGAGCCGGCTGGCATTGGCTCTGTTGGACACAGGGGAAGCTTCTGGCAGCTTCTCACAGAAGCCACCCCTGTAGCCCCCACTGCTACCAAAATCTGGCCACACAAACACAGTACAGTTTCATGTTCCCTCTCATTGTTTCAATGATAATTTATTGGGTGACTAATGAATCTGCTCAGTTTAAACATTTTGTTCTTAGAAGCATATTCGTCTTAGAAAGCCCTCGGGGATACCTTACATACCACTCTGACAAGATATGGAGATAATTCCATAGACATTAGGCTGTGTAGGTGTGATAGAAATGTAGATTTCCAGAGACCCTTGAATGATTGCTCTTGCCTGATAAGATTAAGAATGATGGAAAAATGTCTTCTACTTCCTCTTACTTGTCTTTACACATTGTCTCACACTTGTGTTCTCATTGAAAAA